CAGGCTCCCGCTACAGCGCCGTACGTACGCGGTTCCGTGGTTGCAACGCACATGACCCAGGGACACACTCCTCCGGACGAGAGAGAGCTACACGTACACCACGCGCGTCAATGCGTCCGGCCGGTCGCCCGTGTGTCCCCCAAAGCGCTCTCTGACAGGCGCCTGGAGCCCATCAGACCGGGGCCGGCACCCCGATGCCGGTGCCCTTGATCCCCGTAAAGTCGGCGGTGTTGACGCCAACCGAGTCGGTGAAGAGGGCGTTGTGCACGGTTGACTCCAGGAAGGACGCCTGTGTGTGTGTGTGTGGTGTGGGGGGGGGGGGGGCACGTTGCAGACGTCGCGGCTTCGCGCTTCCGCGCGGTGGCGCGTTGGCTGCGGCGGCGGTGCTGAGGAGCTCGACTACCGAGGGCGACTCTCGGCTCGCGGCACCTCGGTGATTGTGGCGCCCATGAAGTTGCTCTCGTTGAGCGTCGACATCGAGAAGTCGGCGCGGGTGAGGTCGCAGCCTGAGAAGTCGACTCGCGGGGCGATGACGGAGGCGAAGGCGCCCTCGACCGCCTTTGCGGTCTGGAAGGAGGCGCGGGTGAGGTTCGCCGCCTCGAACGTGACCATGTTGAGCGTCAGGCCGGAGAAGTCGGCGCCGAAGAGCTTGCAGCCGTCAAACGCAACCTTGGGAGCGGCGCGGGAGGGGCGGGCGGTCAGCACACGGCGGTGGGGGCGGGCGGGGGGCGCCCTCTGCGCGAGGAGGCGCCTCGCGCAGGGTCACTCCCTTGAAGACCGCGCCGAGGAAGTCCGCGCCCGAGAAGTCGGTCGCCGTGGCGGTGCAGCCGGTGAGGTCCGCCCCCTTGAAGGAGGCGCCCTCGAACGCAGTGCCGGCCAGGGTCGCTCCGGCGAGGTAGGCGCCGTCGAAGTTGGTTCGCATCATCTCGGGGACGTTGTCGGTCTTGAATCCGGCCATGTTTGCGCCTGTAGCCGCCGGAGCCGACGCGGTGTCACGGTGGGCAGAGGCGCGCGCCACTCGCCCACACGCCCCCCCCTCCCGCCCATCCGCACCCGTGAACTTGGCGTCGGCCGCCTTGGCCTCCCGGAGGCTCACGTTCTTGAAGACGGACGACGAGAAGTCGGCCGTCGTAAGGTCGCCTGTGCCGCAAGGGGGGGAGCAGGCCGTCGAGAGGCGCGGGCCGTCGGTGCTGTCCAGCCGTCGGCAGGCGAGGTCTAGCTGATGGAGAAGGTTGCGCCGGAGAGGTCCGCGCCGGTGAAGTCTGCGGAGCGGGAGGGCGAGCGTTACAGCTGCTGGGGGCAGGGGAGGGCGAGCGGGAGAGGGTAGCGCGAGGCATATGCGAGGCATATGCGAGGCAGGGAGCCGGAGAGTTGCGGGTGGGCGGCAGCGGCATCGCGGCATGTGCCAAGGCCGAGAAGGGCGAGGGACAGGAAGAGGGACAGGAAGAGGGACAGGAGAGGGGCTGGCGTGAGGGGGAGAGTGGGCAGGGGAGGAGAGCGAGACAGGGTAAGAGTGCTGTGTGGGAGAGAGCAGGTCGGAGCTGTACTAGGGGCCACTGGAGTTGGGCGCGCGCGCGCTTGCTCCCACGGCCATCGCCTCGGAGAACTTAGCGCCGGCGAAGTTGGCTCCGATCAGCTTGGTGCCGCTGAGGTCGACCTGCTCGCAGGCGGCGGTGTGAAGCGACGCTGCCCACAGCTTCGACCCACAGCTTGGGCCGGGGGGAGGGTACTCGGCTTCGCGCGGCGGGCTGGCGCGCGGAGAGACGAGAGCGAGGCGCGGAGACACAACGGCGAGGGGCGGCGGGAGGGAGAGAGTCCGCGAGGCACGGCACGCGGGCAACGCTCCAACACACCTTCTCGATGGTCATCCTGCTGAAGTCCATGCCGCTGAAGTCCTGCCGTGCAGGCCGTCGACATCTCAGTTGCAGGTGTGGCGGGGGTGGGGGGGGGGGGCCTCTTCGAGTGGCGCGGCGAGGGGTGTGGTGCGAGAGGAGGAGGAGCCTGCATGGTCAAGTCGAAGCAGGCGCCCGTCTGAGGGAAGGTGCCGCCCGGTTTGATGTGCTGGGCGCACGTGTGCGTGCTTCCGGACGGCGAGACCTGCCGCGGGCGGGTCGGGAGAAGAGGGTGGTGGCGGGGAGGGGTGATCAATTGAGCTGGGGGGGGGGGGGGGGGGGGGCTCGGGACGGGCGCACCATCATGCGCTGCGTGACTGAGCGGCCCGCAGCCCCTGGAGGCGGGGGCACGGCGCCCGGGGCTGGCGCTGTGTGCGCGGGGGCGACCAGCCCGGCCCCCCACGCAGGGGCGGCCGGCACGGGCGTCGGGGTGGCCGGCACGAGCGTCGGGGTGGCCGGCACGGGCGTCGGCGCGGGCACTGCCCCTGCCGCAAGCCTCGTAGCCAAGGGCGCGGTCTGGCTGCGGCTCACAGCCTCCTTACACCAGCACACCGACGGGACCCCGACCGGCGAGGGCACTGTGTGGTGGATCTCCGACTCGTGCAGCTCACAGCGCGTGACGGCGCCCAGAGATGCGATCGGCTTGATGGTCGACAGCTCGTAGGCCTTGCACTTGGCGCTCTGCGCGCAGAGCCCTTGGCATTGTTGCTCCGTGACGTCCCACTTTTCTGTGTAAATGCCGTACTCGCCGTGCGCAGTGACGCAGTACCCGTCGGTCTTGCCGCCCCGGGGCGCTTTCCAGGTTGCCACTGCCGCGGCCGAGACCGGCGACGCGACCTGCGCGACGGCGCTGGACACGAGGGCGAGCATCTTGGTTTGAAAATCTGTGTCTGTGGATCCCGCACCCGACCTATTCCGGGCGCCGTTCACGCGAGCAACGAGGGGGTTTCCGACATCCTGTCGGAAACTGGACAGAAGCGCGCAAGAAGGCGCTTCGTTATCTACCGCAAGAGACCCTGCGCATAGTCATAAAGTTGAGTTCAGCGCGCGTCAGAAGCCATTGCTCGCTTCCGATGGAGAGAGATTTTTTTGAAAACCAACAAGAAATCACAACTCACAGTGATTTTGGCTCGGCAGCTTGTCAGCCCTCAGCCGAAGCTGGGGCCGGTCCCGTAGCCGAGAGAGCCCGCGTCGATGAGTTCGACGCGGTCGGGAGGCCTTGCGGAGAGGCCAGAGAGTTGGAGAGAGAGCGACCGCTGTACTTCATGGTGTCATCAGGTGACCGGCTGATAAGCCAGAGGTCGATACACTCTGGACGAGCCATAGGATGCCACGAATTCCTGAATGATGGTCCTGTCACATTCGTGTTCCGAGTTGTTGGGCGCAGGGAGGCAGCATATCAGGCACCAGTCTTCTGGACAGCTTGACAGCTGCAGCCGCGGTGGCAGAGACCAGAGTCGGCCGCAGCTCGAGCCAGCAGCTTTTGGCTGCGGGATCGAATCGCGGAAGGCTCATGCCCTCGCGGAGCGACGCGGGTCGAGCGGCGCGCGCGTGTGCGAAATGCGACAACAGACGACAGACGACAGACGCCTGAGCGCTGAACGACTGAACGACCGTCGCTTCCGAGGCCCAAATACCAGCGCATCGCCGCCTGTGCAAAGATCAAGGCAGAAACAGTGCAATCTCGCGCTCACCACAATAGTAGAGAGGGGCATCGGGCCAGAGCGTGATACACGCACCAGGGGACCAGGTAAGGGTCGGGATCACAATATTGTGAGTGCCTCACAATATAAATTTTCTCGGATAGATATCACGCGGCTGACCACCAACTCTCCGCCAAACTCTGCTGTAACTCATTGAACTCTTGATGCTGGGGCTGACGTCAGGGGGGGAGTGGGGGAGCGGGGAGCAGCTCCCAACAGGGTCATGTTGAAACAGCCTTGCTGAGCGTAACTTTTCCAGGTGAAGGTAACGCAATGAGTTGACGAAAATCAAGAGGCTGCGCCTAATATAAAGTTGCCTAAAATAAAGTTACGCTTCCTGCATTGGTTCTGCGGCACCGATTAGTCGGCGCGTCTTGTACGCAGCTGGGTGCAACTAACGAGGTGACCCCGGCCGCGCGCGTGTGGGTGTCAGGTCACACACCCTCACCCAGGCGCACAGTGCACAGGTACAGGTACAGGTGAGGTGGCCCCGCTCTTTTTCTCTGATTTCTCTTTCACTATACTGTACGGTGCTAAAGGAAGTTCCTACTTCCCGAGAGAGCGATCGTCTTCGTCGCACGTGTGTGGTGTGTGACCATGACCTTAAGAGCGACCAGTGACGACTGACGTATATTTTTTCTGCACAGATTCTCTCCATTCCTGGGGCCGCGAGCTGGCGCACCGAGGGTCTTTCTTTTTTAGCCACACACACCCCGGTAGAGGGTACACGACGAATTTTGGCTGTAAGAGTCGCTCGATTCACACGCTCGCGGCCTCGACGAGCACCCGCTCGCACACGCACGCCCCGGTGTCCACGACCACGCCGACGCAACCGTCCGTGTCTGCGCACGCCGCCGCAGCGACCGGTGCGAGCCGCACCCCCTCCAGCCCGGCCCACCAACGCTGCACCTGGCGGTGGGGGACGCCGGGCGGCTCAGGGTAGCGCTCGATAGGGCCGCTGCAGCGGGAGGCGCCTGCGCGCGAGACACCGGGCCGGCTCGGCGATCTCCAGCCGCGGCCGCCCACGCGCGCTCAAACGAGGCCGCGCTGCCGGGCGGGAGAGACGCGTTGAGTCGCCGCTGCGCCGTGCGCGTCGTCGGGTCGAGCAGCCTAACCCTCGACGTCATCTCGGGTCATCTCGCGTCACCTGCAGCCCCGCCGCGCCGTCGGGCCGGCTCCTCCGGTTGCCCGGGTAGGCGGTGCCGCTCAGCGCGCCGTGCGGCGGCGGGGCGGTGCCGTTGCCGCCGTCGCCAAGGGCCCAGACCACGGGCCAGCCGTGCGAGTCTGCGAGTCGCCTCAGCCGCGCGCCGTCGGCGGAGCCAAAGAGCGCGCCGAAGAAGGGGAGGACGAGCTTGATGTCGTCGGGCCGCGGGTTGCCGAGCAGGTTCGCCTCCCAGTAGCTGCCCGCGGAGAGCTCGGTCGCGTTGGGCGCGTCGCGGTGCGGGGGCGAGAGCTGGGAAGAGTTCGTTCGTGAGAGTGTCACGGCTCGCTGCCGCGTGATCAGCTATCTCGGATCTAGATATCACGGCTCGCTCACCGCAGAGCGCGCGATCAGCTCCGCGGCCGACTGCGCGAGGGAGCGGCGCGGCAGCCGCCCGCCGCGGCTCCCGTCGCCGCCCCAGCTCCCGAGGCCGCGGTACAGGACATGGTCAAAGTGGTCGAGGGTGCCGACGGGGGCCATCGGGTAGGAGCAGTCGAGGTTGAAGCGTGGAGGGCCGTACGTGTCGTTGCACGACGCCTCCCAGATGCCGGTGTCGATCGGCGCGATCTCGACCATCTTGCGAACGCGACTCGTGCGGAAGACCGCGCCGACGTTGCCAAAGAGCGGCGCGCTGCCCGTGTCGAGGCGGCGAATGTTGTGAGCGGCGTACACCAGCCGATTGGCCGCCTCGTCCCAGGTCGGGCGCAGCGGCCGCGCAAAGGGCGGGCAGCCAAAGATGGAGATCTCGGCGATCTGCGGCCCCAGGTTCTTGTAGTGTGCCGACGAAGCGTTGGCGGCGGTGCTGCGCGGGTCGAATGCCCCGGGCGTCCAAACAGGTGACGCGTCAGGCGGCGCCTCGGCCGGCGGGATCAGCTGCGCCTGCCACTGGTTGAGGAAGAAGCCGTACTTTTCGAGCGACGCCATGGAGACATCGACAAACTCTCCAGCGGGCCGGGCCGGGAAGTTGTGGACGATTTCCGCGGCTTTGGCCTCGGCACGCACTCGGTCGAGCAGCCGCTCCGGGCTCAGTTTCGCCGCGGCGGGACAGCACGCGGAAAGCAGGCGGCGGAGCTCTGGCGAAGCAAAGAGCTCCAGGACGCGTGGAGTGGCCGCCGCCGAAGCGGCGGCAGCGGCACGCTCGCTGGCGGCGCGAACAGAGGCCTGCACCGGCGTCTGAACCGGAGGCGTGGGGAACTGGAACTGGTGTTGGCTCGTCATGGGATCACGACAGTCCAGCAGCGGCGGGCCCCAGACCGTTTTGAGAGAATACTCACTCAGCACAAGGTTCACAGCTGAAATGTGGAATATAAGCCAATATACACATTGGAGAATATTGGGATATATTGGCTTATATTGATATATTCCCACTCCCTCCCTTCCTCCCGGGGGCATCTGCGCCCTTTCCGTGTTTCTCCACAGCACCCTCTCGTTTCCTCTCTAAGGAAACTCCGTCCGTGGAAATCAGCTGGTTTGGGCCCAAAATCAGCCAAAGCGGCAAAATACCGGGGTATACCTGGGGGTCCCGTACCATGCGGAATCGACCCTATCCAGTGCTCAAGTGCTCAAGGGCATCTGCGTTTCGTTTCTTTTGCCTCTCTCCTCACACGTCTGGTCATTGTTGTCTGTCGTGGGATCGCTTGTCATGTGAGAGAGTTAAGAAAGAAAGAAAACAGACAATCCAAGGGAGGGATGGGAGGACGGCACGCATGTGAGAGAATAAGAAGTGGCCTCGCGAGCTGGGAATAGGACCGCCGCAAGCAAGCGGCGTGGCGTGGGGCGGTTGAGCATCCCTCCGGGGGGCCCTCTGCTCCGGGGAGGCGTTGTTGGAGGCTAGGACGCAAGCGTCCGTCGCCCTTTTCAAACTCGGGGCCCACTCCGCTACGCTCCGACCCGAATTTGGAGGGCCTAAAAGTTTAAGGTGGTGCTGCGCAAAAAAAAGGGTTTAATATAACAAAATAAAAGTTTTCAAAAGGGGCGCAAGTTACGCGGCGAGGGAAAAGGGAGCAAAGAGGGGCAGCAAAAGGGACAAAAGGGACGCGGTCACGCCAGCGGCTGGCAGCGGCGGTCGGGGCGACCAAGTCGGCGATCCCGCTACGCTCAGAGACAGCGGCGGGTTGGCGTGCGGGGTCGCTGTCCTGTGTCCTCCCAATGCGACTCAGAGGTGCACCGCCGAGGCGTCCAAGGCACTGAAGGCGGAAGCGGGCGCAAGCACAAGAGAAAGGTCACTGCCGCTTGCAATCCCGGAACCGGCACGCGTCGCAGACGGGAGGCTCGGCAGGAGCGTTGCGATGGCGAAAGGAGAAGCACACCAGGCGGGCAACCTCCAGGCCGCGTGCGATGGAGACGGGCCGTTGGCCGTGCCATCACAACTTGTCGTACAGGTCGGGTTCGAAGGTAGCGTGTGGCGCCAGGCGAGCACTACAGGAGGCCGGCCGGAAAGCTATCGGGCTGAAGTCCAAACTTGGGCTTGACATCGGACATGGCGAGCGCATGCAAAGGCAAGGAATGCGTACGGCCGGGCCAGCTGCATGGCTGAGGCGGACTGGGACTGGCGAGATGAAAGGAGTGGCAAGCAGCGGCAAGCCTAATCACCCTGGTAGTGCACCCTGTAGGGCCGCACTCTCCACAAGCACTCTTGATGGGCGGTCTGTGACAGCCTGGTGACAGCATGACAGATCTTGCGTGCATAAGGAGAGCCGTCAAAGCACTTGCACGCCATGCACACATACACACGGTGAAGGCGGCGCCGGTGACTGCCCAATTGAGCTGGTGTTGAGTGAGCGCAGGTTGGATTGTCGTGTGTGCGGCAGCAGGAGGTAAGGTATGAGGAGCTCAAAGCGAGTTGAGAGTTTGCGATGCTTAAAAGAAGTGTTTGCGTGCGGGTCGCCAAATACCGCAGCAAACTAAGCGTGGACGCACTGTGGGTCAGGCTGAGGAGGATAAACGAGAGGACATATGGGCAACGCGCCGGGAGGTGAGAAAAGAATTCTGCAAAGGGGGTGTTCACGGAAAGTGCGCTGCACGTGCTCCAAGCGCGGCGCAGAGGCTGGCCTTGGAGTCCAGACAGACCATGACGGCGTCGAGTGAGGGTCGAGGGGAGCGGAAACACATCGTGACGGCTCCGAGCCGGGTAGATAGATGATGGATGCGCTTGTCGTGCGTGCGGGTAGTCCTTCCTCGTGATCTGTGATCTGTGAGGGTCCGCCCGCAGGCGCATTTTAAAGGGGCGGGGCGCGGGCGCGCGCGGCAGGCCGAGAGCTCTTTTTCGAGATCAGACCTTTCGATGGTTCACGATTTTTCGCTTGACCTCGGTGGGAAATCGCACTATTTAAGGGCAAAAACCGATTTGCTGTGGGGGGCGTGAGTCTTTCCTTCTGTCGCTCCCTCTCCGGTCTCTCCATCATCTTTTCCACCGCGTCTGCCGTGATCTTATTTTGCTCGGGTATCTCCTCCTCCCATGTCGCGTTCGTATCGAGGCCCGGGGTCCCCTCCAGCTTTATCACTCGATTGTCCGTCCTCTCTCGGCCCCAATAAAATAAATAAAACGGGCACGCCAAACGAGGGGTGGGAGAAGGACAGGGTCCCCACCTGCACGAGCAGGATCTTGTGTAAGGACGATCAGGGACACAGGGGAACGGGAGCGGGGAGCGCATCGCGACACGGAGGGGGGCTGGGCAGGGTTCACCCACACGACAGGTCCCAGGGATTCCGCTCTCGTATAGGACAGGTTGCACCCGGCGGCACGGGGGCAGGCGCGGGCCTCCTACTGGTTGCGCTCTCCTAGTTCTCCTGCTCCTGACATCTCGACCCCAGGTGCGTGCCGCTGTTGCGCCGGTTTCTTCCCTCCGAGGTAGAGCGTCCTGGCCTTCCCCTCCACTCGGATGCCCGTCTTGGTTCGCCCTTCTTCGAACGTGTGTTCTGTCATATTACATACCCAACCACACCCAGCCCCGTCCTCGTCCGTCAATCACACCACCCAAAAGCGGAGGTACATCAGGAGCCGCAGCCGGCCTGCTCTATCAGCCCCGCAGCCGCGGTGGCGCGACCGGACCGCGGTCGCTCCAGGCGCCTTTTGGCCCCGGTTCGAATCGCGGTTGGCGCGCGCCCTCGCGGAGCGACGCGTGGCGCGCGACGCGCGCGCGTGCGCGTGCGCGCCCAGCCGAGCCCTAGGCCGTATGCCGTCTGCCTTATTCGGCTCTGGCTTTCTCTTTGCGTTGAGGTGAATTCTCTTGTTGCCCAAGCGTCCTTTGCGGCCGCACACAACGCTCACCCCCCCAGTTTCCCCGACGCGCGGAGCGCGCTACACGCTCTCACTACAGCTAAAGGATGGGCTGCGGGACGTCAAAACAGAAGCAGGAGGCGATGGACGAGATGGACGTCAGCAAACAGTGCGCGCGCGCTCCTGCACTGCCCGCCCCGCCCCGCACCGCCCGCCCACACCCCCGCCCGCATTCACCCCTGACCGCCGCCTCGCAGTGGCGCCGAGTCCCCGTCGTACCACATGTACAACGCTCCGCCCGTACCGGACGAGCCGGCGGTCGCCGCGCCAAGCAGTTCGTAATTTCGTGCGATTCTGCGCCTCACGTCGCACCGGAGAGGACTGTGTCGCACGCCTCTGCTCTGTGGGTGGGATGGGAACGGCGGTCTCGTGAAGCGCAAGGTTGAACACGCATCATCTCTCGACTCTCTCGCGGCCGCGCGCGGGTGTCCGTCCGTCTCTTTTTTATTCCGCGCCGCGGTGTACACTTGTGCATTTGAGAAGTTCAAGCCTTCTCGGTTCCCGCGTGAATGCTCTGGGACGACAGACTAGCCTTGCGCTGTGCCACACGCTCTGAGTCGACACATGTTCACCCCTATAGATCGCGACACACCATAAAAGTGCACACAACCTTCGGTGCGGTGTGCGTGCGCGGCGTGCCGCGTGCGCGGGGAGCCCGCGACACCGGCGCACACGCACACACACAACTACAACTCAGAGGCTCGCGACGCCGCGCCGTTCGCGGGCCGGTCGGCGCTGCCACCCGCCCTCTCACCGGCCGAGCCGCTCGTCCGCCTCGCCCTTGGCCTCCGCCTCCCGCAGCGTGTACCCGAGCACCAGCTGGTACATGCAGAGCGTGCGCATCTTGTCCTGCTCGATGGTCACCTGGTCGTCTCTCTCGAGGTCTCGCTCGCCCCCGTCCTCGTCCGGGACCTTGAAGATGTACTTGACCACCATCGACATCGCCTCCTTCACCTCGGCCGACATGCCGCGCGTCAGCACCGCCAGCTGCGCCTACGGGGCAGGGCTCCAGGACGGCTGCGAGCCGCGCCCCTCCCCTCCTGCGCGGGCGGGCTCCGCCGCGCCTCGGGCAGCGCGGCGACGTACGCGGACAGGGAGGTGGAGATGGCGCCGCTCCCCTCCGCCTCCCCCGCCTGCAGCTGGCCCAGCTCCGAACGCAGCGCCTCCGCCTCGCCGCGCAGCTGCTCCATGTACGCGGCCGCGTCGACCTCAACCTCGCGCCCGCCGTCGAGGGTGACGACGACAGTGCCGCTCACGTTGGGCGGCGAGGCGGTGCCCGCCGCTGCGTCCAGCGCCGGCAGCGCCGCGCCGAAGGCAGACCCGCCCTCCCCCTCCAGCGCGCCGAGCGCAGCCGAGAACTCGTCCCACGCGATCCGGCCGTCGCCGTCGGCGTCCATGAGCTTCATGAGCGCGCGCGCCTCGTAGGGCGGCGGCGCCTCGCCGCCGTAGACGGACGCGAGCAGCGCCTCCACCTCCGGCATCTCGATGTACCCGGAGCCGTCCGCGTCGAGCCGCTCAAACGCGGCGCGGAAGTCGGCGGGCTCGCGTGAGCGGATCTCGAGCAGGTCTCGCAGGGCGGTGGCGTACTCGGCGTTGCGCAGCATGTAGCCCGTCACCTGCAGCTGCAGCATCAGCGCGGCGAGCCGGTCGCCCGTCGTCGTCACGCTCGAGTCGAACTGCAGCGTCGGCAGCGCGCCGAGCAGCGCGACGACGGCGTCTTGCATTGCCTGCTGCACGCGCGGCGCCGAGTCGGCGAAGAAGTCGCGCAGCAGCCGCTGCGGCGGCTTCTCGGTCGCGATGTCAAAGTACGCCTGCGCCGACGTCGCCAGCCCGGACTCCTGGATCTTGGTGATCCGGTCGCGGAGCCGTGCCATCGCGGCGTCGTCGAGGCCGTCGTCGCCGCCGCCGCCGCCGCCGAGCTGCTGCTGCAGGCATACCGCCGCGCGAGGCGCAGCGACGCCAGGCAGCAGCGGTCGGCACAGCACCGGGCCGGCGCTTCCCACCAGGTATGAAGCAGCAGGCGCCACCAGGAAGAACGACATCGCGCAAGTGTCGAAAGAATCTTACAGTAACCACGGGCCCTCAGCGGAGCTGGGAAGAGGACCGCCGCAAGCGGCGTGGCGTGGAGCGGTTGTGCATCCCTCCGGGGGCCCCTCTGCGCCGGGGAGGCGTTGTTGGAGGCTAGGACGCAAGCGTCCGTCGCCCTTTTCAAACTCGGGGCCCACTCCGCTACGCTCCGACCCGAATTTGGAGGGCCTAAAAGTTTAAGGTGTTGCTGCGCAAAAGGGGTCGGACACCGGGCGCAGCTCATGCTAAGAGCTAGAAGAGGAGATAGAGAGAACAACCACCCTGTCCCGTTATTGCGTACACCAACAAACACCACAAAACGCTCTCTCTCTCCTGTCCGCTCACTCAGGGGGGTCACAACTACCAAGTCCCTCGACTAGCTGCCACAGGGCGCAGCTGCCACAGGGCGCAGCTGGAGACGCTCCCCCTCGGCATCCACCCCCACCCGCTCCAGCCCCACTTCTGCTGCCGAGAGAGCTGAATCGAAGCAAGCGTGCCATTGCATCTTGGCGTGCTCCTGGAGCGCGGCTTTCTGCGGCCACGAGCACGGCGGAGTCGGCGTCGTAGCGCGCATCGTTCCCGCTCATCGCCCATTCCTCCCGTGACGTGTGTCGGCCGCGATTCGATGTCGCCACCTTCATCGCCAACGAGGACTCCCTCGACTGCAGGGGGGCTCCGGCGCGGGGAGGGACTCCGCCTGCTGCGCTGGCCGACTGCGCCCTCCTCCTCCATGGGATCGATCCGATTCCGCAGCGGCGGTGCTGCGCGGGAGGCGGCCGCGGGCACGCTGGGCTCGATCAGCGGCTTTCCCCTCAGGTAGCGCGAAAGCACGATTTGGCGGATCTTGGCTTCAATTTTACGAATGTCTTGGGACCAGCTGAAGGCTTGCACGGCGCACATCGCCGGATTCGTGCACGGTATTCGGATTTTGGCTATTTGCTCGTGTGGGGGTATATCGCAGATTTGTCAATGGTACCGCGTCTGCGACGCGGGCGCCTTGCGGGCAGAGCCCTTAGCCACCCTTTTATCTTGCGCGGTCACAACAAAACTCCCTCGCACAACACTGGGCACGGGACTGGCGCGCACTGGTGTCGAAAGAAATAACTTATTTCCCTGCGCGGAGCTGGGAATAGGACCGCCGCAAGCAAGCGGCGTGGCGTGGAGCGGTTGAGCATCCCTCCGTCCGGGGGCCCCTCTGCGCCGGGGAGGCGTTGTTGGAGGCTAGGACGCAAGCGTCCGTCGCCCTTTTCGACATCGTCTGTGCGCTGCTAGCTCGCTCGCGCTGTTGAAAGAATTTACGGCAAGTGCGAAAGAAATAACCAGCGGCTTCCGCCTCTTCTGGCGTGTGGTGGCGGCGTGCCGTCCTCCCATCCTCCCTTGGGTTGTCTGTTTTCTTTCTTTCTTTCTTTCTTTGGGCACACCTACCGGCACATGGATCATGGTGAGGATGGAAACAGAAAACACCCAGTTCCTTACCAGCTCAGTAACCAGAGATGTATGTGGTTCGCGCGTTCATGGCCAAGATTATTGCGCTGAAAAAATCCCGGAGTGCGGAGAGACTTCCACCTAAAACGTCTTATGGCACAAAACCCGAACAGACCGCTCGACCTAGTCTACACCACCTCCCCCAGTCACTGTCAGACACCTACGCTCCATTCGGAGAGCTCTGCAAAGAAACAGGCTCCATCGAGCTCCACACGAAACTGATAGACGTCTTCAAATCACACAACGTCTGGAACGACTTCAACGGAAACCACGGCCCCTCTTCCCAAAACTCCCCCTGACTACCCACGGCCACGCGCCACGGCTCAACCGGGTTAAAGCAAACAGGCACCGCACCCCCCCCCCCCAAAACCCCCACACACCTGCCGTACGAAGAGGTACGAATAGCCGGACACAGGAACGGCACAGCTCAACGGTAGAAATCCCACACACGAACTCACCTCTCGCACAAACAGGTTCCCAGAGCCGGACGCAGGAACGGCACAGGCCAAAACACACCCACACCTGACGCACGAACAGGTACGAACAGCCGGACGAAGGAACGGCAGAGACACACACCCAGCCGGGGCAAGACAGAAGGCCGTCGAGGGGAATGGGAGTTCGCAACTAAACGGCCGAAGCGTATCACTCCAGTTCACGCTCGCCGAGCCAAACCGCCTACCTGCAAGCTGGGCTCCCGCGCTCGCGAGCCTGGCGCTGCGAGCCGTGGGCCCCGGGGGCGACACACATATATGCCGCCCCGCGCGGCCGCAGCGTCCAGCGCAAGGCCTCGTCGTCGTCCTGTCCCCGCGGCGTCTCCGGACCAAAAGAGGCAGCGGCTCCTCGAGGCGGCCGAGCGTCGTCGACGGTCGGCGGCCGAGGCCGAGGCCGAGTCGGGCGGCGAGTCTGGCGCGACAGTGCCGGGCACCTCGACGGCGGCGCAAGGGCTCGAGCTCGCTTTGGACGCAGGGTCGCATGGGCAGCACGCTGGCCCCCCTTCGCGGATCGCGCTCCCTCCCGGTGCGGTGCTGACGGTCGGTCGCGACACCGCCTGCGACGTGACTCTCACTGCCCAGCACATCTCGCGCCAGCACGCCGTGCTCCGCGTGGCGGCATGCGGGCGCAGCGTCCGGCTCGAAGACGTCTCGCGGAAGAATGGCTGCCGCGTGGAGCAGCCCGGCGGGGACGAGGCCACCCTCCTGCGGTCGACGGCCCACGAGGTGTCGGCCTGTCAGCTCGGAGACGGCGACTTCCTCACTTTCGGCCTCTCCAGCGCGCCGCGGTCGAACGAGTGTTCCTTCCGCTACACCGTGCGTGCTGTCGCGGCCGCTCCCGCAGCCACCGCCCGCGTCGCCGGCGCGGCCACTCCAGTATCCACAGCGCCTGCCGCGCCCACTGCGCCCGCCGCTACCGCCGCGCCCGCCGCTACCGCCGCGCCCGCCGTTACCGCGGCTCCCGCCGATACCGCCGATACAGCCGCTACCGCCGAGACCGCCGATACCACCGCGCCTGCCGCTACTGCTGCGCCTGCAGCGCCCGCCGCTACCGCCGCCGCTGCCGCCGCGGAGGCGACGGTCGATGGTGGTTGCATGGAGCCGGACCGGCCGGGCGGCAGCGGTCGCGACATGAACCGCGAGGAAGGGCAGGCGCCTCCGGCCCCGGAGCCCTCGGAGGCAGTGACGACCTCACAGATCGGGGTGGCGGCGGCTGATGCAGCGAACTCGAGCAAAGCTGACGACCGCGCCGTGGCGAGCGGCGGCGGCGAAGAGCGCGGCGCCGAGAGCGACGCGAGCGACGCGAGCGAGGCGAGCGACGCGAGCGACGGCGTCACTTTTGTCTGCGTCGGGAGGCGATCGGTGGGCGCGACGCTCGCACACGCGAGGTACGACTGCGAGGTGGTCCCCTTTGAGGAGGGGCGCGAGGAGGAGATGTGCCCCTCCTGCTGGTGCGGCGCTTGCGGCGTGCCCGCCGCCGAGTGCCCGGACTGGCCTTCCCACTGCAAGACGACCCGCGCCGCAGCGATGGCGTGCCACGCGGCTGCGCGGACGGAGTCGCTGCGGGCGCGCCTGCAAGCCGTGCCGCGGCCGCCACCGCTCGATCCCGGCTGCTCGGCGGCGCGGCTGATGGCGGAGCCGCGCTGGGGGCCGATGCGCTTCACCGCTCTCTCGTGGCTGGCCAACTGCGGCAGCGCGGAGGAGGGCGTGTCCGCCACCGTCTCTGCCGTCCACGGCGTGAGCGCTCCGGCCGCGCAGGCGCTGCTCGCCTCGCTGCAATCCCTCGGGGAGGTGATCGCCCTCCCGTCGCTCGGCTTGCACGTGAGGCCGGGCACCAACATTGACGTGCCGCCGGCGCCACCAGCGCCGCTCTTCCCACTGCCGCCGCAGCCTCAGCCGCCGCCGCCGCCGCAGCCCCGCCCCGCAGCCGTGCTGCCTCACGATGTCGTGATGCAGATGCTCGCTTCTGCACCAGAGCCGTGAGCCCTATGCTGAGAGTGTGCGGTTCACCGCTGTGACGTGCGTCCCGGGAGTGCGCTGAGCGAGACATGTCTCTCTGTGAGAGAGATACGGGGAAGGGACGAGCTCTGAACGTGAAAGTAGCACAGACATGTCTCGCGCTGCACCGAAAAAAGAACTTTTTGTAAATACGCAGTACGAAAAGTGTGGACACACGCTCGAGAGACCCCTCCCGCGTGACTTTAGTCTAAAGAGCCGCGGCTAGCTCATACCGTATAGGGGAAGTGGAGAAAGTGCTCGCCTCAGGCTCTCTCAGCGGGAATCTGACCCGGTGGCTCTCCGTCGCCGCTCGTCGCGTCGGGCCTTCGCGGCCTGCGCCGCCTCTGCTTCGCTGTGCACCGCCTGTGCTTTGACCGCGTCCGCGACCGGCTTCTCGGGCGTGCCTTGGTCCGCATCCACCCTCGGCTCTTCTCCCACGTCCAGGCTGCCCTGCCGCCGCCGTTGCCGCCGTGTCGCCTGGGCCGCACGCGTGTCGTCCGCCTGCTCAGCCTCAGGGTGTTCTACTGCCGTCGCTCCACCACCCTCACTTCCGTCCCTGTTCCCGCCTTGCTCGCCCGCCACTGCCCGCTTCGGTCGCCCATCATGTCCGTCGTCGTCGTCCGCGGCGCCTTTTGCAAAGGGAAGCGCCTTCCGGAAGCGCGCGCCGAGGGAAGGGGGGTCCTCCGCCGATGTGGGCGCATCGCCCTGCTCTGCGCGCCGGGAGGATGCGGCGCACCACTCGAGTGCCTGGCCGTTGGGAAGAGGGCAGGGATATGACGTGCGGGCCACTAGGGATAGGCTTGAGAGTGTGGGCGGACCTGGGCCAGGCCGTC